TTGCTGTGTTGAATTTGGCTGTTTTTTAATATCCCAACTACGTTATTTCTGAGTTCTGCTTTCTTTCCCTCATCTGTGATCTGTTGACATGCTAGTTCTGTTGCTACAATAAATTCATCATATGGTATTTCTTTTGGTGTGACTGCAAAGTTTAAGCCTTTCTTTAATATGCTCTCTTCTGCTTCTGTTAGTTTGTATTGTGAAATGTTACATACCCATGAGTTTGGTGTGGAGTTGCCTTGTATTTCTCCCCTCTTTTTCTTGTTTATGAGTCTGTTTACCTTCTTTATGTGTCTTTCTTTCACTTTTATGAACTCTTGTTCCTGTTTTTCCATCATGTGTCCTTTAATTAGTTCCTCCATTTGTTTATCAAGTTTGTAATTCCTTTTCAAGTCCAGGTGTCCTCTTTCCAGTTCGTCCTCCACGCGCCTCTGTTTGGTTATGACGTTCCTTATCCTCTCCTTGAGCAGTGCTCTCTGTGCTCTTTCTATTATATTTTGTGCTGTCTGGGTCCGGATCGATGTTTTCAGCTGTAGGCTTGTGGGTGTGATGTTTTCGTCCCGGCATCTTAAACAGAAGCGAAGGTGGTTTCTTAGACGTGCGCGTTTCTGGTGTAATCGTTCCAAACGGCGGAAGTCCTTCGTTCCTTGTTGTCCGTATTTCTCTTTGAACATCTTAGGTGTGTTCTTGCTGTGTCTTTGTAAATCCATGCTTTCGTTCTTTTTTAAACACAGAAACAGTTTTGTTTACCTGTTTGTAGCTACGGTTTCGCCGACAGCTGCCGGCTTCTTCAGGCTGACGCTGATGGTGGCGCGTCACTTCCTTCTCCGTTTATCTGCGGGCAGCAGAGGACGTTGTCGCCCTCTACTGCCCGCTCTGTTTCTGTGTTTAAAAAAGAACGAAAGCATGGATTTACAAAGACACAGCAAGAACACACCTAAGATGTTCAAAGAGAAATACGGACAACAAGGAACGAAGGACTTCCGCCGTTTGGAACGATTACACCAGAAACGCGCACGTCTAAGAAACCACCTTCGCTTCTGTTTAAGATGCCGGGATGAAAACATCACACCCACAAGCCTACAGCTGAAAACATCGATCCGGACCCAGACAGCACAAAATATAATAGAAAGAGCACAGAGAGCACTGCTCAAGGAGAGGATAAGGAACGTCATAACCAAACAGAGGCGTGTGGAGGACGAACTGGAAAGAGGACACCTGGACTTGAAAAGGAATTACAAACTTGATAAACAAATGGAGGAACTAATTAAAGGACACATGATGGAAAAACAGGAACAAGAGTTCATAAAAGTGAAAGAAAGACACATAAAGAAGTTAAACAGACTCATAAACAAGAAAAAGAGCGGAGAAATACAAGGCAACTCCACACCAAACTCATGGGTATGTAACATTTCACAATACAAACTAACAGAAGCAGAAGAGAGCATATTAAAGAAAGGTTTAAACTTTGCAGTCACACCAAAAGAAATACCATATGATGAATTTATTGTAGCAACAGAACTAGCATGTCAACAGATCACGGATGAGGGAAAGAAAGCAGAACTCAGAAATAACGTAGTTGGGATATTAAAAAACAGCCAAATTCAACACAGCAATATTACAAAAGAAGAACAATCAGCCATGACAGCCTTATCCAAAAATGAACAGATAATTATTCTACCGGCAGATAAAGGAAGAACCACAGTAGTTATGGACAGAGAAAAATATAAACAACAGATGAAACAGATGCTAGAAGACAAAAATACATATGAAATACTTAAAAAAGATCCAACAGAAAACATTAAGAAAAACATGAAAAAATTACTGAAGCCACTGCACGAAAAAGGCAAAATAACAGAAAAAATGTACAAACACTGGATTCCCACAGCAAACATAACACCAAGAATATATGGAACACCAAAAATACATAAACAAAACACCCCACTTAGACCAATAGTAGACAGCATAGGTACACCAACATACAACATGGCAAAAGATATCAGCAGAATCATCAGCCCGTTATTAGGAAATACAGACCAACACTGCAAAAATAGTATAGAACTGGCAAAAGAACTAAAGGAAATTACAATAGAAGACAACGACATACTCATCTCACATGACGTCACATCCCTGTTCACAAAAACACCAACCCAAAAAACCATAGACATAGTAGTTAACAGAATCAGACAGGACAAGACTTTACATAAAAGGACAAACCTCACAGCAGATGACATAGCACAACTGATAGGACTGGTAGCTAACTCCACTTACTTCACATACGACAACACAATATACAAACAACTGGAAGGCTTCGCCATGGGTAACCCGTTATCAGCCACCCTGTGTGAGTTTTTCATGGAAGACCTGGAACAAAAAGCCATAGCCACCGCCCCCCCAAACTGCAAAATAAAACTATGGAAACGCTACGTAGACGACATACTGGAAATCATACCAAAAGGTCAAACAGAAACACTAACACAACACTTAAACAACATTGACGACACGGGCAACATAAAATTCACTTATGAGTTAGAAACAGAAGGCAGCATAGCATTTATGGACATGAAAATCACCAGGCAGACCGACGGGACCCTAAACATAAACACATACAGGAAACCAACACACACAGACCAATATTTATTATGGACATCAGAACACCCCACCATACACAAAATGTCAGTAATCAGAACATTATATCACCGAGCAAACATGGTAACAGAAGAGAGAGACCGTAAACAAGAGGACAAACACATACAACACGCTTTAAAGACCTGCAGATACCCGACATGGGCAATAAACAAAGGAAAACAACAAACAACAACAGAAAGCAAAGAACAACCCAAAAAAAGAACCAGAAACCCAGAAAGACAAGAACCAAAACCAGTGATAACCCTACCATACATCAGAGGCATAACGGAAAAAATAAGAGCAACAATGAAAAAACACAACATAAACACACCAACAAAGCCATACACAACAGTTAGAAACAGACTAGTACACCCAAAAGACAAAATATCAGCTGGACAAAAATGTGGAGTCATCTACGAAATCCCATGCAAACTCTGCAATAAAACATACGTAGGAGAAACCGGACGCCAACTCAACACACGGACAATAGAACACAGAAAGGAGTGCGAGAAAGAGGCAAATCGTAAACACACAAGAGCAGCAAAAGAAGAAGCAGAAAGTACAATAAAAAAGTCAGCCGTAACAGATCATTGCTTAAGAGAAAACCATATAATGGACTGGGACAACACACGGATCATAACCACCGAACAACAAAAATACAAAAGATGGATCAAGGAAGCAATCGAGATAAGGAGACGTGGATGTGGGACCATGAACAGGGACGACGGAGTTTACACGCTGGACCACGCATGGGACTGCATCGTCGGAGAGGGGAGAGCGGGCAGTAGAGGGCGACAACGTCCTCTGCTGCCCGCAGATAAACGGAGAAGGAAGTGACGCCACCATCAGCGTCTCCCTGAAGAAGCCGGCAGCTGTCGGCGAAACCGTAGCTACAAACAGGTAAACAAAACTGTTTCTGTGTTTAAAAAAGAACGAAAGCATGGGGGTTCTTATATTGATGAAAATGTCCGGCTTTTCATCCAGGAGCAGGGATCGAATTATGGGGGAGCTGTTAATCCTACACATCCAGGGGAGCCGGAAAAAAGTGTTCTACCTATATTACATCATTCATGGACTCTTCTGAGCAGAGAGCACAGAGAGCGGCACAGCGCTGCGTTGTAGCGCAGCGCTCCAGGCTGCTGCGTCCAGCGCACGGTCCATTCTCAAAGTGGTGCAACCAAAAAACTATAAATAGCACACGATCGTTCATGTCCGCACATGTTCTCTATTTTCTGTCTTATTTGTGCCTGAAGAGCTCTGCTACTGTGGAGCTCATCACCTGTGCTGCGGTGATTTCACCTCACTGACGCAGCATCGAACGCGCTCTCCGCTTTGCGGTCAGGAGATCTTTGATCTGCTCAGAAGTAACTGATGAGGTGAAAAAGTAAGAACCAGGCAGCAGTTTTTCTGGAGAGTTTAGAGGAGATGCAGGAAGATGAGAGACAGACAGGACAGGAAATAGTTAAATAAAAACAAGAAAACAAAACAAAGTGTTGAAAAGTAAAATGTACGTAGATTTATCTCCACTACACGTATTTACCTGTATCAATAAGTTATATTTATACATCTGATACAATTCAGATCACCTTCAAAACTCTGTCACACACCCAGGGCCGTTTCAAGACATTTTGGGGGCCAAAGCAAAATGACCCCCCCCCCCCCCCCCCCCCCATTACTGGGCTCCCCAGAAGCCTCTGTGTAATTCATACCCTCTCCAGGAGTATTAGTTATACAGTGTTTGTATAAGCCCCTCAGACATCACTGACATGTTATCAGATGAAAAACTAAATTATCATATAGCCATGCCCTGATGTGAGCTGGGGGGTGCGTCAACATGGTCGGGACATAGAAGGGGGTGCGCGGCTAAATAAGTTTGGGAACCACTGAGAGGACAAACAGTTGGCTGCTGTCACTTAAACTTAAACTACCAGAGTTTTAAAAAGAGAAACGCCATTTGAAGTCGCAGAAGACAAAAGCTGTTTGGACCTAGAAAACTGCGACTGGTGTTTTGTGGTTTCATGTTACTGTGGCACTGCGAGCTCCCATATCAGAGGGACTTTACATTCCTCTTCCCCACTTTGAAGTGTACAGACTGACAGTGATTCAATGCAGCTTGAGTTATAATTCAAGCTAGGTTGGAGTGCTTAGCCCACATGCATCTGCATCGTGCATGCTGGGGTGAAATGGGGTGCATTCTAGTTGAGTTAGAGTTCCCTCTTGTGGAAACAAATATATAGGTCACACCTCTAGGTTACAGTCATGTTTAAGCAATTACCAAAGCTTTAAGTGCAGTTGTTTATATGTTAAGTGAAATAAATGAAACCCTACTTCTAGATGATGCATATCACAGATTTTTACTTTTCCATTCTCAGCTACAAAGAAAGTGCTATGAGGCTGTCCAGAATCCACCACGACAGACCCATGAGTCCTCTGAACGAGGGGGTTTTCTGGATCGAGTTCACCATGAGGCACAAAGGAGCAAAGCACCTGAGGGTCCAGGCCCACAAGCTCACCTGGTACCAGTATCACAGCCTGGATGTCCTGAGCTTCCTGCTCTCTGTGGTTCTGCTGCTCCTGCTCCTCCTCGTCAAGACCTGCAGGTTCTGTTTCCGGAGGTGCTGCTGCAGAAGGAAGACCAAGAGGAAGGCTGAATAACAAACTCAGCTCAGGTTTACTGATCAACTGAATTCAACCGACATGTCCATGTTGGCTGCCACATGCGTGGATCAGTTTATAGTTTATTATTTTAACCATTCCCTATTTAATACAATTTTTTTTAATTCACTTAATACAAAATTACTTCAGATAAAATAACCACAGTGTATTTTGTTAAATACTTCTGGCTATGATGTAATATATAAGTGACATGTTTGACAATAAACACTTTGGTCTGGACTTTTATATGAACTACAGTGAGGTCCATAAATATTGGGACATGGACACAATGCTAACATTTTTGGCTCTATACACCACAATAGATACCAAATGAAACAAACAAGATGTGCTTTAACTGCAGACTGTCAGCTTTTATTTGAGGCATTTACATCCAAGTCAGGTGAACGGTGTAGGAATTACAACCGTTTGCATATGTGCCTCCCAAGTACTTGTTAAGGGACCAAAAGTAACTCATTGGACGGCGCTTCACAGTGCAGATGGGCAATGACCCAAAGCATACTGCAAAAGCAACCAAAGAGTTTTTGAAGGGAAAGAAGTGGACTGTTTTGCAATGGCCAAGTCAGTCACCTGACCTGAATCCGATTGAGCGTGCATTTCACTTGCTGAAGACAAAACTGAAGGGAAAATGCCCCAGGAGCAAGCAGGAACTGAAGACTGTTGCAGTAGAGGCCTGGCAGAGCATCACCAGGGATGAAACCCAACGTCTGGTGACGTCCATGTGTTCCAGACTTCAGGCTGTAATTGACTGCAAAGGATTTGCAACCAAGTATCGAAATTTATAAGTTTGATTTATCGTTCTTATTCCATCCCATTACTTTTGGTCCCTTAACAAGTGGGAGGCACATATGCAAACTGTTGAAATTCCTACACCGTTCACCTGACTTGGATGTAAATACCCTCAAATAAAAGCCGACAGTCTGCAGTTAAAGCACATCTTGTTCGTTTCATTTGATATCCATTGTGGTGGTGTACAGAGCCAAAAATGTTAGCATTGTCCCAATATTTATGGACCTGACTGTAGTTTCATAATTTGTACATGCAGCTTCAAGATTTTATCACATTGAGATTTTCATTTGTTTATGTTTATGTATTTAGCAGACGCTTTTGTTCAAAGCGACTTACAAGTGATAATTGGCAAGTTGCCTTTGAGGCTAACAACAACAACCACAACGTGACATCAGTCATGGAGAGGAGGGAACAAGGAGTGGACAGTAGAGAGGGGGGACGGGTGCAGGGAGGGCGCTAGTTTAGAAGATGCTCTCTGAAGAGCAGGGTCTTCAGGAGTTTCTTGAAACTTGAAAAGGAAGCTCCTGTTCTGGTAGTGCTTGGAAGGTCATTCCACATTTGTGGAATGATTCATTCGCCTCTTTCAAGCTGAAATCACCAGTAAGTTCAGGTTTTATTACGCTTTTATCCAAACCAACAGCAATACAGTGAATGAGCCAAAGCATGAAAACAAATGCATACATGTGGAGAAAACAGTCCCAACTGCAACATCAAATTAACCTTTTTAGAAAACATTTTTTCTTCATAGACTTCATGTTTCAGTTAAATATTTACTATTAAAAACAGAACATAAGGGACAGCAAAAAGTAGATAATTAAAATCTTTAGAACATTTTTCATACAAGTCCCAAAATCTCATGATCACCTTCTGCTCCAATAGGAGATGTAATGTTCAATGTTTTATTTACTCTGGACCCATTTACTACAGATGATTAAATCTAGTAGTTTGCAACATACCAGTTAGGCATTGCTTAATCCAAGATCAAATTAATCTTTAATCCTATAAGAAAAAACAATTTCAGCATCTAAACCCGAGTTTCGGCCTAGTAAATGGGATTAGTTGAGAACAAATTGTCCTGATCATAAATTGGTGTTTTCTTTTCACTTTGATTTCTTTTACAAGTTACAGATTTGTGATAATCCAGAACAAGGAGAAATAAGTCAAAGTCCAAACTGTCAGTAAGTCATCTTGAGATCTGCGTTTTAAAAAGACCACAGCTGGATTTCCTGCAGACGGTCAGCCATCATGGAGCCATGTCCCTCGGTCTGCATCCTGCTGCTGCTGTGTTTGGGAAGGAGCGCTAACGGAGGAAAGGTTTTGGTGTGGTACACTGAGGGAAGCCACTGGATTAACATGAAGCCGGTTCTGGAGACGCTGGTGGACAGAGGACACCAGGTGACCGTCCTGGTCCCCAGCATATCGATGTTCATGACCAGTGACCAATCGCTCTTCCACTACGAAGCTTTTAACGTCTCACTTTCCTTGGAAGTTTTTGAAGCATTCCTTGACAAATTCATTCACTTCACCATCTATGAAATGGATTACATGAACTACTTTCAGATTTACAGCAAATTTATGGATTTACTGAAGATCAACATACAGTTTTCTCTGAAGTTTTTGGATGGTGTGGTGAAATCAGAAACCATGCTGAAGAAGCTGAAGGGGGACAACTATGACATGCTCCTTGCTGATCCCATCTTTCCTGGAAGTGATTTGACTGCAGACATGTTGGGGATCCCTCTGTTCCTATCCTTGCGTTTTTCCGTAGCTCATAACTGGGAAAGACTGTGTGCCCAGCTACCTGCCCCACCTTCATTTGTTCCAGCTGTCTTGAGCAAACTGACAGATAAGATGACCTTCTCAGAGAGAGTTTTCAACTTTCTCTTTTATCCCCTGCAGGACATAGTGATGGAAAAATGCATTTGGAAAGAGTTGGATGAATATTATTCCCATGTCAGAGGTAAGCGTCTGAACAAGAATCCCTGAGTATCGACATACAGAGTCAGATAATCGCATTTACTCTTATTTGGTGTGTGTTCAGTGGTGGTTTCACCATTAGGCATAGATCGGCGGCCTCCTGGGGCCCCCTATGTTGGGGGGGGGGGGGGGGGGTGCTGCTGCGGGGGCTAGCCCTGACTGCTGGCACCCCTGTGTCAATGCCACAATGGACTATTCCTTTAGGACGCGATACACAAACAGGAAGTGATTGGTAGTCATTTCACTCCAATCCAGTTGGTGGCAGTAATGCACCAAATAGTTGTTTGCCAAGTGCCATAAGACCACAAATAAGAAGAAGAAGAAGAGAGGCGGGAGCGTTCGTAACAAACTCGAAGCGGTAGTGAAAAGATGAAGCGTGAGATGGAGTTATCCTAGTGGCTCCTGTAAGAGAAAGAAGCAGCTTGCTTTAAAAAAAAGCTTTTATCTTCACTTCAGAAAGTGACGTTTTTCTATGTAAACATCAGAAGGAAGCAGAAAAGGAAAGATGATGGAAAATGTTTAAAGGGATGAAAACATGGAACAAAATGGAAAATAGAAAAAAAACAAAGGCAAAAGCACAGGAGCCCTGACAGGAAGAAGAAAGCACTCAAAGGGAGAGAAAGATGGAAAAAAGAGGAGGACTAAGAAAAAGTGAAAGTAACTCGTGTCAGAAGAGGGGAGAGTCTCGCAAATCCAGTCAAAGAGAAGATTGTTGAAAATTTATGGGCTCGACACACGGGAGGCCACATCGCCTCTCCTCCATCCATTTTCAATGAGACATGCGCGACAACGCGATAATCGCGGGTCTCCCTCCTACCAAGCGAAACGCGAAAAAGTGCATGTGAAATTTTGCGCTCGTGCACGTGTCGTGCACGGACGACCCAGCGACGCGATCCCAGAAAGTTGAAACATTTTCAACTTTTCATCGCTGTCGCTCGGACGAGGACCAATCAACGGAGGTTTCATTCTCTGACCAATGAGCGGACAGGATGCTCCGTACATCTCCGAGCAAACATAGAGAAGTTGATTATTATTATGTTTTATAGTAAAATCAGAAGTAAGATTTCACATAACTCTAGCAGCACCTTGTGAAACATCACATCTACCGCTTTATTAACTCTGAACCGCTTAAATAACCTTAATTCCCTCCAACTCGACACAACCAAACAAAACAACGGAAGTTTCGATTTCGCCATGGAACAGAACGCGTAGACGGCTTCGCCGCTGGCCGCTGCTGCGGGTCGCCTCCCGTGTGTCAGGTAATAAAAGCGACAGCGACAAATTTCACTGATCGCGGTCGTTTGTTGCCTCCCGTGTGTCATGCCCATTAGAGTAAGGGGGCCCCAAGTCTGTGTTCGCCTTGGGCCCCCAAATTGCTAAATCTGCCACTGCGTGTGTTTAAAACAGGAACCCACACCAGTGCCTGTGAGATGATGGGTAATGCAGACATCTGGTTGATGAGAACCTACTGGGATTTTGACTTTCCTCGTCCGTTCCTTCCCAACTTTAAATTTGTTGGTGGAGTCCACTGCAGACCTGCTAAACCATTACCGAAGGTATCATCACTTTTGAAGTTCGTGACTGATTTTACCTGACAGAGGAAAAAAAATAAGCCAAATGGATGATGCATGCAATTGTTAACTATTTCTCTTCCTGCAGGACATAGAAGAGTTTGTCCAAAGCTCTGGAGATGCTGGGATTGTAGTCTTCTCATTGGGATCTCTGGTCAAGAATCTGACCACAGAGAAGGCAAACATGATCGCTTCAGGCCTCGCTCAGGTCCCACAGAAAGTCAGGAAAGTCTCCAGTTTTTAGCTCAAATCAATGCATCTTAAAATGATTTCCTTTCAAACTCAGCCAGTTGATTTCAGATGAATTCCACAAGTTGTTGTCCTTCTGATAACCCTTCATTTGTTGTTGAAACTTATTTTTGTGAAATGTACTTGGCATTGGCTGTAGGTGCTGTGGAGATACAGAGGTGAAAAACCTGAATCTTTAGGTTCCAACACTAAACTTTATGACTGGATTCCACAGAACGACCTGCTGGGTGAGTAAATATGAACATTGTCTAAAGCTGAACTGGGAGCTTTGGGCTACATTTAACAAAAAGCTTATTTCGGGAAAACTCCCAAGTATCAAATAATCAAATCTATCATGGTGACTCTTTGGTTCATATCAGGTCACCCGAAAGCGAGAGCTTTTATCACTCATGGTGGTGCAAATGGAGTCTATGAAGCCATCTACCACGGCATTCCCATGGTGGGAATTCCCCTGTTTGCTGACCAGCCGGACAACATGTTACACATGAAGGCCAAAGGAGCTGCAGTCACCGTGAAGTTTAACCAAATGAAATCAGAAGACCTCAGAGATGCGATCAACACGATCATAAGGGACAAATCGTATGTTTTTTTTTTACATTAGCATAAAAAAACTAGAGTTAAGTCATTATTTGTTGTTTAGACATCCTTGTAAAGCCTAAACCTGATCACACCTTGCACAAAAACATTAAAGGTCAGAGAGGATATAGGAAACTTATAGCAGGAAGAACTTGCATATCAGATGTTGAAAGGTATGATTTACTAAGACAAAGGTCAGATGTATAATACCAACATATCACCTGCTTCAGCATCATTCTAACCACTGGAATTTGAGTGAAAGAAGCATAGATCTCATTTTAAAATTCATGTTTCCTTTTGTTGCAGTAATAAAAAAAAATTTAAAAACATGTGTAGGAATAAAGAACATTTATCCAAGGCTTCCCTTATTATTCCCATAATTTGTGCCAGTGAATTTTTTTTTTAATGGGTATTGTTTCCATCCACAGCTACAAAGAAAGTGCTATGAGACTGTCCAGAATCCACCACGACAGACCCATGAGTCCTCTGGACGAGGCGGTTTTCTGGATCGAGTTCACCATGAGACACAAAGGAGCAAAGCACCTGAGGGTCCAGGCCCACGAGCTCACCTGGTACCAGTATCACAGCCTGGATGTCCTGAGCTTCCTGCTCTCTGTGTTTCTGCTGCTCCTGCTCCTCCTCGTCAAGACCTGCAGGTTCTGTTTCCGGAGGTGCTGCTGCAGAAGGAAGACCAAGAGGAAGGCTGAATAACAGCCTAAAGGAGAGCTGCACAAATGAATACGATTCAACATGGAACAGTCTTTTTATCCCACTGTGGCTTTTTATAAACATGAAATTTTTGCTTTCAAAGATCATCTTCACCTTTACGTTTAATTACTGATACATGAAAGTTTACACAAGTTAAAAGAAAATAAACCAGATCATCTTCAGCGTTGCCTTTTCCAAATTTCCCCCACAAAAACATCTAATCTGACACCTTCACTGCTAAAATTTATGTTGTGAATTTACAGTAAATAATTGGATACATTTTGCATGATTTTCACAGTAAGAATTACAACAATATACTGTGAAAATACAGCAATTCACTGCAATATAATGTCTGTGACATTACAAGGCTCTTTTGTAAATGCACAACTGTATACTGTAAATTTACAGCTTCAGTGACAAATCAATTACTGTGATATCACAGTAAATTATTGGGGAATTACCATTGTTTGCTGTACATTATTACAACAAGACCCTGTACTTTTCCACTGAGTACTGTGAAGTTCATGTACAATAGTGATGTGTCGGTCGTGAACAAACCGACTCCAAGAGCCGGCGACGAGAGCCGGCTCATCATTGGGAGCCGCCCCCTCCCTTTTGTTTTGGTGAAAGCTACAGGCGATTGGTCAACATGTGTAACTGCGTGTCCAGACTGTCCACACACAGAGCAGTAGGGGCGGGGAAGACTCAGACACACAGCAGAGCACATGGAGACGAGAGGGAATGAGGAGGATGAAAAAGACGAGCGAGAGAGGAGAGTGCGATGATGACGGTGAGAAAATGAGCGCCAGCAGTTGGAAAGTTGAGATTTCTTAAAGCGTTCAGTTAATAAATGATAAATATTTGATATATTGCATTTGTTACATTAGTAAATAATTTTACATATAGTTTAGCATTATTTTTGGTGATAATACTTTACGCAACAGAAAATCTGGGGAGCCACTTGGGAGCTAAAAGAACTGACTCTCTAGAAAGAGCCAGAATTCCCATCACTAATGTTCAAGTTGACATTAATTAACAGTGAATTTACAGTAACTAATTGAATACATTTTGCATGACTTCCACAAATTACAGTATATTACAGCATTACAGTAATAGAATGTGAACTAACTCACAGCATAGTACTGTAATTTTACGTCAATGAAGTCACAAGACTTTGTTGTAAAAACACAGCTGTGCCTCTAGTGGGAACCTCTGCTTTACTGTAAACAGTGGAACGGCACGGCGGTCCCATTCCTTCGACAACCTTCCTTACTTATGGTGCCACCATGACAACAACAAATAACTGCACCTTTGCAACACTGAACAAAGAAATAACTAAGAACACCACAAGTCTCCCAATAAATCTACATAAACACAACAAAACAGAACAAAATAACTATAAGTAGTTGACTACCCACAATGCACCTTGCCCACTGCATCTTTCAGAGTGGGTGGGTCATTTTTAAATGTATAAATTGCAGTTTTAGGTTGACTAAACTCTGGTCATTCACCTAAAACTTCAAACATGGGGTAGTAAGCTTGCTTGTTAGAACTTCAGTGCAGCGGAGTTCTTCCTCTTTGTTCTGTGCTTCTCTGTTCCTTCTCTAAAGAGTCAGAGCTCCTCAATAGCACCCGGTCAAAACTGGTATGAAACAGGTTTTGGTGGGTGCAACCAGGCACACTTAATTATTTAAGTAATTTGAGCTCAAACATATTGGTACAATAAGATAGGTCATTCAAAGGTACAGTTTACTGTAATTAAAAACAATAACGTGTTTAAATAATCGGAACTCAGTTTGTTTAAGTTGAGTACTGATTGAACTTAAAAAACAAGTACAATAAGAAAGGACACAAAAAGGCTCAGCTAACTAAGCATTAACAAGTGACGTTAACAGTTTAGAAACTTAAGTAATATGAACAAGATCCTTTGAGTTGAGTCAAAATCTGGGTGTTGTAACAAAGAAATTATACATATCTGGAATACATATCCAATCTGCTTAATAAATATTAGAAGAGCTGCACAGGACACATTTCAATACAATATTTAACTGTAATAATACAGTTTAATGCTGTGAAATCCTTGCATTTTTTACTGTGTTGCTGTGATATTACAGACCTTGTCGTGATACAACAGCAGGACTTAGATTGCAGGATTTTACTGTAAAATAAGAGTTAAATGCTGTGAAATCAAAGGAAACTGCAGTTCTTACAGGTACAGGGAAAGTTGATTACAACAAGTTACTGTAAAATAATACAGTTTCTTATTGTGGAATGCTGGTAATTTTTAAGTGTTCTGTTCTCATTTAACTGCAAATCCTGTGTTTAAAACAATGACCTTATAAATAAATGTGTAACTAAGAGTTTAAACTTAGAATATGATGCAAAAATCCATCTATTTCAGTCCAGCTTTGACTGAGAGACCATCTAAAAGCTCAGAAACCTTTTACAGGGGCTCTGGATTCATTAGCTGATTAGTCTCCGAGTCTAGAATATTCAACTTTTTAGTAATATTCTGATATTTTGAATTTGAGCTTTTCATAACCCATATTCATCACCATTATAACAAATAAAGGCTTCAAATATCTGGCTTTGCATGAAATGAGTCAATCATGCATTAGTTGCACATTTTAAGTTTAATTACTGAAATAAATGAACTTTTGTACAGTATTGTCACAGAGTTTCACTTGTTGTCCAGACAGGACAGATAAGCTATCAACTATACATTTATGAACGTTCTACATGTACCTACCGTTACCTTTGCAGCAATAACCTTTACCTCTCAAACAGCTTCCAGCTATCTTGTTCTGTTCAGTACAGAGACATGAGTCAGAGTTCACTTAGTTAATGAGTATCTTTGAAGAGCACTCATTAGAAAAGATCACACAGCTGTTCCTCTGCAGACCAACATCCACCATGGAGCTGCGCCTCTCCGTCTGTCTCGTTCTGGCGCTTTGCGTCACATCTGGAGTTAATGGGGGAAAGATTTTGGTGTGGTACACCGAGGCCAGCCACTGGATCAACATGAAGCTGGTGTTGGACACGCTGGTGGACAGGGGACACCAGGTGACCGTCCTGGTGCCGAGTGCGTCGATGTTCATGAACAGCAGCGAACCGTCACGCTTTGATTATCAGCCTTTTAACGTCTCCATCTCACTGGAGGCTTTAGAGGAAACTCTAGAAGAGTTTTTCTACTTTTCCATGTATGAGATCGATTACATGAACTACTTTCAGGTTTACATAAAATACATGGATATCATGAGGGAAGACATGAAGAATTCCCTCACCATCCTGGGAGGTGTGGTGAAATCAGAGACCCTGATGAAGAAGTTGAAGGAGGAAAACTACGACCTGCTCCTGGCCGATCCCATCTACCCTGGAAGTGAATTAGTAGCGGACTTGTTGGGGATCCCTCTTGTTTACTCTTTGCGATTTTCCATAGCTCATAACTGGGAACGACGGTGCGGTCAGCTCCCTGCACCACCTTCATTTGTTCCAGGTGCAATGAGCAAACTAACAGATAAGATGGACTTCTCAGAGAGGATGTGGAACTTTCTCTACTATGCTCTGCAGGATCTGGTAATAGATTACATTTACTGGAATGAGATAGATAACTATTACTCAGAAGTCAAAGGTAAGCAACCTTTAAGGAATTTGATGATTTTATATTTAAATTAGAAGCCCCATCTTACTAATATATTGCTGTATATTCTCTGCAGGAATGCCCACCAGTGGATGTGAGTTGATGGGTAAGGCGGAGATCTGGTTGATGAGAACCTACTGGGATTTTGACTTCCCTCGTCCATTTCTACCCAACTTTCAATTTGTCGGTGGAATCCACTGCAAACCTGCTAAACCTTTACCAAAGGTGGGTCTTAATTCAAATGCATAAGATTGAAGTAAACTGGGGAATTGATCAATTCAATTCATTTCAATTTTATTTATATAGCGCCAAATCACGACAAGAGTCGTCTCAAGGCACTTCACATAATAAACATTCCAATCCAGGTCAGTTCATTAAGCCAATCAGAAATAATGTTTCCTTTATAAGGAACCCAGCAAATTGCATCAAGTCACTGACTAGTGTCAGTGACTATACAGCAATCCTCATACTAAGCAAGCATATAGCGACAGTGGAGAGGAAAACTCCCTTTTAACAGGAAGAAACCTCCAGAGAATCCTGGCTCAGTATAAGCAGCCATCCTCCACGACTCACTGGGGATGGAGAAGACAGAGCGAGAGAGCGAGCGAGCGGGCAGGCAGGCACGCACCCACGCACACACACACACACACTGTCCATGGTTACACCATGATGTCTTAGTAAATATTCTATTTGGTGAGAGATAAACTTTATTGTATTTATCCTAGTGAATCTATAATTAGACGGGTAAACTAGTAGTAGCACATCCAACGTCAAGGAAAGCAAAAAGTTATTATCAGGAGAGGGAGAATGTTTTAGTGGTTAGCAGCAGTGTGTTAGACGATGGCCCCCTCCATGAGGCTACCACAGCTCAGCAGAACATCGTTGTAGCTTCTTCTGGGGAGAAAAACACTTAGAGAGAAAATAAAGTTAACAGCTGAAATAGCAGGAAATAATACAGTTAAAGAGCAGACTGTAGAAGAAAGCAGTAGAGTGTGAAAAGTGGTCAGTGTGTCCTCCAGCAGTCTAAGCCTATAGCAGCATAACTACAGAGATAACTCTGGATAACCTATCCTATTTAGACGGAGGCATTTTGGAGGCAGGGCAAGGGAGAGCCGTCTTTACCGACTGTACACTCCACCTCCCTCTACTCCCCCACTTGTCCAGATTTAGGCTAACATCAGATTTTAACCATAGACCCTATCAAATAAAAATGTTTTAAGCCTATTCTTAAAAGTAGACAAAGTGTCTGCCTCATGGACTAAAGCTGGGAGCTGGTTCCACAGGAGAGGAGCCTGATAACTAAAAGATCTGCCTCCCATCCTAATTTTAGATATTCTTGGAACCACCAGTAGACCTGCAGTCTGAGAGCGAAGTGCTCGGTTAGGAACGTATGGAACAATCAGATCACTGATGTATGATGGAGCTTGATTATTAAGAGCTTTATATGTGAGAAGAAGGATCTTAAAATCTATTCTGAATTTAACAGGTAGCCAATGTAGGGAAGCTAAGACAGGAGAGATATGATCTCTCTTTTTAATTCTCATCAGAACTCTAGCTGCAGCATTTTGGACAAGCTGAAGACTTTTAACTACATTCTGTGGACTTCCTGAGAGTAATGAATTACAGTAATCCAGTCTTGATGTAATAAATGCATGAACTAGTTTCTCAGCATCACTCCTGGAAAGGATGCTTCTAATCTTAGCAATATTCCGAAGGTGGAAAAAGGAAATCAATAAAACGCATAATAAGGAAGAAAAACTACAGTGGTTGGCTCATTTATTTTGGAATGTTGTTTCAGGAAATGGAAGAATTTGTGCAGAGCTCAGGAGATGATGGCGTTGTGATCTTCACTCTGGGATCGATGATCAATAATGTCACCATGGAGAAGGCAAACCTGATTGCTTCAGCTCTGGCTCAGATTCCACAAAAGGTCAGAAAAATCCATCTAAAATCAACTTTTTAATAGAAGTAGAATCACCCACACAGCAGCAGAACAGTGAGTTCATGGCCTAATTATTAAGATGGTATCCTCTCAGTTTGGTACAAAGCTTTAAGGCCTTGTCTCTAGTTTGTCAAACAGAGTAAGTAGCCTGTACGAGTATAGGAGCCTCTTAGGGTTCTACAACCCCCCAAGGCCCTTCACAACACAATCAACCTTCCACCTATTCACACCCTTGTAGTGATGAGTTATGATGTAGCCACAGCTGCCCTAGGGCGGACTGACAGAGGTGAAGCTTGCAGAACACTGGCACCACCAGCCTCTATGACCACCACCACCAGCAGACAAGGCGGGTTGTGTCTTGCCAATGGACACAACAGCAGAATTCTCTGGTTGAAGCCGAGATCTAACCTGCAACCTTCCGATTACTGGACGTCCCGCTCTACCTTCTGAGCTACTGCTGCCTCTAGTGGCTCCTGGTTTGCTATACACCAGTTAGAGTCCATCAGCTGTTTGGAGTCATTTTAATGCACATTTTTCTAATTTAAAACACTTGTGGTCTAAAACTGTTGTGAAATATCTGCAGGTATTATGGAGGTACAAAGGGGACAAACCAGAAACTCTTGGTGCCAACACCAGAATCTATAAGTGGATCCCTCAGAATGACCTGCTGGGTGAGGAAAACTCAGCAAATGCATTTACTTTTAGTTTTTTGGAAAATAGTATAAATGATTTTTACAACCTAGAAATTTACCAACAAACATTCTGTCATATAAATCTACTTAGTGTGCTGCAATCACTGAAAGCACGACTGGTTAAATAAAAGTTACTGTTCTCCAATAAAATGTGATCTTTACTAAATATTAAACCAAGAATGTTGCGTCTCACCGATTTAGCTTTAACTCAGGTTGCTGTCAATTCAGGACAACGTTGTATGTTGAAAGAGGACCGTTTTAATGGGTCCATCATTAGATTAATTCTGAACCAGCAGCTTGAAAATTTACTTTCCATGTTGGATGTCTTTGGCTCATCTCAGGTCATCCTAAAGCCAGAGCTTTTATCACTCACGGCGGCACAAACGGGATTTATGAGGCCATCTACCACGGCGTACCCATGGTGGGAATCCCTTTATTTGCTGACCAGCCAGACAACCTGGTGCATGTGAAGGCCAAAGGGGCTGCTGTTATTCTGAATATAAACTTCATGACAACGGAGGAACTTAGAGATGCGATCAACACCGTTATCAATGACAAATCGTGAGTAATTTTTAATCACACATAAAAGAAACCGAGAAATGTTTTACCAACCCTGTTTAATCCTCACAAGAGATAGTAACAGCATGGTGGAAAGCAGCTAAATAGGGATAAATATAATTGATTAGCTAGTTCATATACCTACACAACTTTTGCTTTCTCAGCTACAAAGAAAGTGCTATGAGACTGTCCAGAATCCACCACGACAGACCCATGAGTCCTCTGGACGAGGCGGTTTTCTGGATCGAGTTCACCATGAGGCACAAAGGAGCAAAGCACCTGAGGGTCCAGGCCCACGAGCTCACCTGGTACCAGTATCACAGCCTGGATGTCCTGAGCTTCCTCCTCTCTGTGGTTCTGCTGCTCCTGCTCCTCCTCGTCAAGACCTGCAGGTTCTGTTTCCGGAAGTGCTGCTGCAGAAGGAAGACCAAGAGGAAGGCTGAATAACAAACTGAACTCTTTTATTGTAAAGTTATCAATTTAAAAATGATCATAAATTAATAAACTAGCCTTGTCTCCACCTTTTGCCTTTGTCCCAGATTTGACATGTCTTATGGTTTCATCTGCAAACGGGTGTGTTCCTTTACACATCAGCACCTGATGTCAATTAGGCATCAAAAGCTGAATGCTCATTGGCTGACGAGGCCTTGAAGAAAGACAAAACTCATATCTTTCTATGGATTTATTTGGGAACTAACTTCATCCTCATAATTCATAATAGCATGGAGCATGGGCTTCAAATCAAACTTTAACCAACTAAAACTTTGAGTGATGTAAATTAAATCGAACTAAACTGCCCTCCATCAATCAGACAAGAATCAACACCACACTGGTCAAACATGCATTTTTTTAAACAGTTGTCATTTGGATATTTTTTCCTTTTCATTTTTTCAGTTTTCCATCTTCTTTCACTTTCCACAGCATGAGCTCCATGCAGGCAGCAGCGTCGTCTGCAGTGTCATGGCCACAAACTGAGGAAAAGAATAAAACAGAGACATCAGTTCAACAGAGGCAAAAACAAACAAAACACCTACAGTGACTGAAATGTCTGGTATAAATATGATTCATCTATTAATACCAAAGTTTTAATTGCTAAAGCTGTGATGTTCTTATAGAACATAAAGACGTGGTTCCAGTGGTAACCCACCACTCTCTTGGATAATCCTCCTTAGGAATTCAGCTGTGAGGCTGTTGAGACTCAGCTTGTTAGGTGGTCCTAGACGGTGGGGGAAGACCACTGATGTATCCACCACCATCCCATGAAGCAACTACGGTGAAGAGGAACAGTTTCAACTTTTATTCAAGTCAAACCAAAGCTGGAAAGGCGTTTAGTAGTTGGAAATAAATTAAAAATCCCTACTTTGGTTCGTTTCTTATCCTAGGTTGGGCATCTACAACCTTTTCAATCAGAAGATCCATTTCCACTCTTCCTCTTACCAAATAAAGAAGAACTAGGCAGTTTTGGTAAGCTTGTAGCACCCCCTAGTATCTATTTGTAGAACTGAAAGCAAAACTTTTCCTCACTGGTCGTTCATTTTAAACACCTTAAACAGCTGAAATGTCTCCCCAGCCTTCCTTAATGTCTAGAAGAGTGTTTCATCACTAAATTTAATAAATCAGCTGTGTTCATGATCTAAAACATGCAAGAAACACAATGGAACCAGACTGCAGTGCCAGGCATGTCAGCTTAACATGCCCCAACAGAACCACACGCCAGTCTGAAGTTGCAAGTGGTATATTGTTACCACGGGGTGGAGGTGGGGGCTGAGTGGCCTTTAATGACCAGTAAAGGGTCATTTTATTACATACTGGCTCAAGAAAATGATTTAAAAAGTTGTCTAGTATCACTTTAGAATGAGGCATGTTTGCATTAAATATTAAAGTGAAAAAAGTAGGGCCTCTTTGTTGGATATTTAACAGTGATTTACAGAATCTTAGAAAAAGACTCAACTTTAATATTTTACAAGGTCAGGTTTCATTCTAATCCCAACAGAATCTCTTACAGTAGTTTTGTAGATTGTCTTAATGTGTCATGACTCATGTGCATAAATACACTTTGCTCAATATTTTGCCTAAATGTTGTTTACAAAATATTCTGCCTCATTAAAAGCAAAAGGGGGAAAAAAATAACGCACGTCTCGAGTCCACATGAGAAAACAAAGCAATCAGGTTAATCCAACACTTATTAGCTAATCATTTAAAAAAACATTTAGAATAAGTTTAAACAAATTAAATTGGTCTAGAAATAAAACTAAGGAAATATTTAAACTTGATTATTTTTTCAAAGATTTTTTTACATTTTTAGGTAAAAAATTGTTAAATGCATGACAAACTGGCAAGAATGGTTACTAAAAGGTTTAAAATCCTGAAAGATTGAATCAACGAGACCCATCACAGTCACCTTCAACAAACAGAGGTCTGTCTCCAGCCCGTGTCCAACAAGAATGGTGTCGGCACTGACGAAGCTCAACAAGGTCTGTTGGATTTCTCTGAGAGAGGCGTGATTTCTCTTCAAATCTTCCTCACTGATGCCTGAAAATCTGCAAGTGTTTCACAAAAAATTAACAGACGGTCGCTGCATCAGAACAGGACAAACAGAAGCACCTGAAGTACAAAATCCTCTAACTGTGGTTGCATCTCGCTAAAATGTTGAAGATGCGTCACATTACTGAATGTTTTGGGACATCTCACCAAATCAGTACATTCAAACAAAAACATCAGATTTTGCTGAGGACATTCAAAAGGCCTGAACAGAGTGGAGATGGACTCGTTTCCTATGGGGCGCCACGTGTAAAGTGTGTGCAAAATATTAGGCATTTGATATTTCAACACACACACACACACACACACACACACACACACACACACACACACACACACACACACACACACACACACACACACACACACACACACACACACACACACACACACACACACACACACACACACACACACACACACACACACACACACACACACACACACACACACACACACACACACACACACACACACACACACACACACACACACACACACACACACACACACACACACACACACACACACACACACACACACACACACACACACACACACACACACACACACACACACACACACACACACACACACACACACACACACACACACACACACACACACACACACACACACACACACACACACACACACACACACACACACACACACACACACACACACACACACACGTCTAAAAACCGTTGTACCAACCTAAATGTAAAATTCAAATCAACTGGTCAACTTTTGTTGTGGGCGGGGCCAAATGGATGGTTTCATTCTTCAATAGCCAAAATGTTGAGCTCACACATTTAGATTCCACATTTAAAGTTGTCTTTTACATTCAGAATTAACATTTAGCTAAAATCATGTGCAATGTAAGCTGTTGGCATACAATGGTGCCAATTTTTAAGCAATTTTCTATAAAAATGTGATGAACGTATGCGAAATGTAAGCAAAGTAAGCTAGAAATGACAAACATCCGACAGATCTTTTACAAGTGTCTGATCTCATAAATGTTCTTATGGAGGAATGCTCCAAACCTCCCATAAACACTCCTAATCCTTGGAAATGGTTGCTGAAACTGTTACAGCTGCAAGATCCAGTAACCAAAGCCTACTGGTTGTGCAGCACCAGACTAAAGACCAAAGGTGACAGATCTGCTGCTGTGGCCCCCAGACTCTGGAGCCCTCTTCCCCTGAGATCAGTGGACTCAGTGGTCTCCTTTAAAAAGCAGCTGAAGACTCACTTGTTCAGGCTTTTGCAGGACCTTCATCACCACCCTCTCTTTCTGCTCTTTTTACCCATTCCACCTTTCCCGGGATTACGGATTTCCCTCATTCATTTTATCTCCCTTTTCTTACATTTATTTTTTTTAATCACAATAAAAAATAAATTCTCATTTGAGATTTTTTAATAGTTTCTTTCTTTTTAAGTTTTAAATTGTTTATTTGTGTGAAGTGCCTCATTATTTTTACCTTGAGGTGCTATACAAGATAGTTCTTTCATTTCAAACCAAGAAAACCTGCTGCTTCATTAAAAGCTATGTGCTATAAACAAAAACAGAGGTACTAATACTGCGGGCAGTAAAGTGTAGCTTCAGTTGGACTATTTTATAAAACACTTAAGTAAAACTACAAAAACGTGAACAGCAGCAGCAGCAAACCTGGACTGGCCTAGACCAACGCCAGCGTCACTGGACCTGTTCTACAGAATTACCTGGTGTTGTAGTCGATGACGTCATTATTGGGTCTAACAAAGGTGTCGTAGATGACCTGAAGGTCCGAGTTGACCACGGTCACTCTGGACAGCTCCAGGCCCTGGACGGTGTAGCACTGAAGACATTCACACGACATTTTGATTTCACATCTAACTTACTGAATGAAGCTTGATTAAAAAAATAAACAAAATTAAATTTTGCTTTGAAACTTCTGCAGAGACGTGAATCTTAGTGGGAACACAGTCGCATTTATTTAACCAAAGGAAGGACAGTACCATTTCACAATCCAAGGAGTAAACCCCAGGACAGCTGAGGTCTGAGGGACATCTAGGGACAGTGGACACAAACCCATCCAGACTGAGGGAATCGTGGACATGCAACTGGATAAGGAAAAACTAGGTTAACACCTACAGGTCCATTCAGTCATGGTTACGTTCTTCATTCTTAAAGGAGGTTCTCCACCTTAAACACCTGACATCCAGGAGCTCCCATGATTCCCTGGCAGCAGCTGTATCGGGTCTCCACTCCACCTGGCACTGAGATTTAAAAACATCAACACCTCCCACATGAAGATGGTGATGAATATAAACAACCACCTGACCTTTATTCTCGACTCCTTTGCCATAGTGATAGTTGCACTCCTCCTTACGGACGTGCTTGCCCGTCTGGCTCACAGAGTACGTCGCTCCACATCGACAGCAGATCCTCTTGAGGGCTTTGGGTTTTAATCAGATATAAGATGAAGCATCATGCAGGCGTTTTGTGCACCCTCTAGTGGACACACATGGGAACGATGATCCATTTCACTTACGATCTGCGTTTGCCTTCTTGTCAACAAAAAGAACGGCAGCACCAGGCTTCTCTGGGTGCTGGACGGGGTAGTTGTTCTCAGTCATTCTTTCGTCAGTCAACACATAATCCTTCAAGATTTCATACAATGTCATATCTGCTAAAAAATAGTTAATTAGGAAGCCGTAAAAAAAAAATGACCTCAACTTCATTCTAAGGAAATCACCTCTTACCGCTTTTTGTCTGCTTCTTTCCATTAAATGGGATGTTGCCTTTTTGTCTTTGATTCTGGACTTTTTCTTCATCTGTAACAGAAACAAATATTAACATAATTCAACACATGGTCCTGCTGACTCAGTCTTGTCCATTTCAGACAGTTTTCCTCACGTTTAGTTGCAGAACTTTGGTTCTTGAGCCTCTTAAGGGCATTAACTGCAACGCTCAGATATTTCAGTTTGTTGACACTGCGGCTGTAAACGCTCTTCTCTTCAGCCAGGGCCTGTCGTTAATAACAAGGGTTAGACACCTATTCATCCTCTAAAAGAGGAGAGTCAGATACACCTGCTCACCTTTTCAAAGGCATCGTGGACGTTGGGTGTCGTTTTGAGGAACTCCTCTGTGAACATGTTGACGTAACGCTGACGAACATCATGAGGTACTTTGTCTTTCACAGCTTCAGGATGATGCTTCAGCTTACGTTTAACAGACTTTGGCTGACAGATGTTACCGTTAGGTTTGTTTAAACTCATTAAAAATGATCTTTTCTACACATCTGCATGTTCATTCTTTACCTTAGGAGCTGCCTGGATAGCAGGTTGAGAAGTTGTAGGCACAGCTGGCCTCCGAGGAGGAGCAGCAATGAGCACAGGCGCTGCTGGGCGATATCTCAGCAGAGTGTTCACTGTAGATGGATCCAGTGGGACGGGGCTTGGGTGCACCTGACTCACGGGAGTTAGCACCGATGTAACTGGGCTGGATGTGGAGGCAAGTGGGAAGCCACCCTGTGGGAGGATCAAGTGCAAGTTGTTGCCCACCTCAATAACCGCAGATCCCAAAGGGATGTAGTTAAAATAAGCTGTGGATTAAAGAAAAACACATGAGGGGATGGCACATTTAAGTAAATATGAGAAATAAGGCTCTAAACTCTAAATATAATTATTTGTGTTAAAGTCAAACAAAGGTAAATGTCTGATGTAAACTACTGGTACCATCAGATTCTTACCATTATGTACTGCTGGAAGGCTTTCGGAGCTTGAAACTGAAGGAGCACTCTGCATTTCTGGTTTCTTCTGACTAGCAGCAGAAATAAAAGCCTGACCAGCTTTAACCGAAGCAGTCAGCATGGAGGCCCTCTGCTGCACCTGTTGGATGTTCGAGGTGATGGAGGGCCGAGAGCCGTATTCTGAAGCGGAGGGACCCCGGAGGGGCACCAGAACCTGGGGCTGGGGTCTGCTTTTAGCTAATGGTTGCTAAAATGGTCAGAAATTCAAAGGGAGCAATTTAACACAACAGGAACACAATAATAGTGATGTGTGTGTGTGTGTGTGGGGGGGGGGGGGCACTTACTGTACCTCTAGATTCTTGGCTTCATGAGCCACCCTCTTCTTTCCTGGTAGGACTTGGAGTGGAGATTTTACTGTTTGCTTCTCCACAAACGTTTCAGCTTCAACCTAAGATTTTTTTAAAGCAGCTTAGCAGAGATTTAAGATGCTAAAGGAACTAGCTTCATAAAATACTCACAGATCCATCAGGATGAGATTCGTCTCCGTTTTTGGCCTCCATGAAGATCCGATAACATTCCTCCATCGGATCGCTGTCAGAAAGCTCCATTTCTGAATAGTCGAGTTCTTCCATTTCCCCGTTTTCATCAGGGCTGGAGTTGATCATCAACACCATTTCATTTTCTGCTTTCTGAAACTGCTCAGGTAATTCAATGTTGATCTGAGGTTTTACAGAAGGAACGTTTTGAGACTGGCTGGTGTTCTGATCTGCCTCGACTTGATTCGGGTTACCCGCAGCTTGCTCGTGTGACTTCTCTAGAAGTTTGTTGGATATCTGCTGGCTTCCTTGCATCACTGATGGCATGCTTTGAACAGGAAGGCAGTGGATTTGAACCTTGTCCTGAGCCAGCTGCTCTGTTAGTCCATGTTCGGGTGTGTAGTAAAGGACTGGAGCCTTAGCAGCAAGTGGTTTATAACGAAGTGAATTATCTTTTGGCTGTGGTGGATTCATTTCGTCAGCATGACTGGATGGATCACACTTGTTCAGGCTGTGGTCTTTACCAGGAAATGTTGCAGCTTCAGAAATGTTCTCTGCTGTCTCAGCAGGCTGGAAACTTTCAAGGTCTTCCAAACATTTAGATAAGATAACTTCATTTTTGCACTCGCCATCACAAATCTGTACTTTTTGATTGTTTGGAACTGCACAACTACTACAAATCTCATTTTCCTTTAATGAGAGTGAAGCAGCAACATTTACCATCTTTTTGTTTTGGGGTATTTGCGGAGAATGAAGTATCACAGATGTCATCTCATTTAAGTCTCCGTCATTCTCTGATGCAGTGTCAGATTTCTGGGCTTTACATGAGGCGTCAGGCGACAAAGGAACATCGATAATCAGGACACAGTCTTCTTTAGAGTCATCGAGGAGCTCTGGAGATGGTGACTGATACATCTGGGCTGCGGATGGCTTCTTCTGACCAGAATGTGCAGGTTTGCGTTTCACTTTGTGCTCCTTCCCTGATGAGCTGTATGAGTGCAGAGCCGCAGAGAAGTTGGACAAAGGATCATACTCTAAATCAGTCTTTGGTTTTGAGCCGTCAACCACGTACTTCCTAGCTCGTTCATAAGCCTGACGATCAAGTCTGCGTGAACTGCTGCTTTCATACTTTGATTTGGATGCATCGTTTCTGCTGTCTGATTGTGCAATCTGGTAGCATGACAGGCGCAGTCGCTCTTGCTCCACCTCGTGCTTCACGGTTTCAATCTCCTTGTTAAGCTTCTCCAGTTCATGGAGGCAGTGGTCTGGAGTCTCCTTCGCTGATCCGCTATTGGCAGCAGGCGGGTCAAACTGGTCTCCTGTAAAGAAAATAAAAAACAAGCCTAATCACTAAAAAAATGGTCAATTAAATCAAGTTTAAAGTTGGCAAGTAGTCGATTAGTAGATCTGCCACTCTAAATATTCAAGTTTTAATTCCATAAAATTAAATTCCCCCATCAGTTAGTGCCCTGTAATTTGATAAATGCAACCAGGTTGCTCTAACGAAAACCCAACAGACTAAATGTTCTAATCCACTTTATAAAAGGCAATTTTGTTGTGCAATTTGTTCCTATTTAGCAAGTAATTTAGAATGAAATTCCTATATTTTAAAACATTATCATTAAAGACAAACGTAATCAGATTACCAATTGTGGTTATTTTCTTAGTAATGGAATATCAGGAGTAAATCATTAGTTTTTTTATTTAAAATTTAAGCAAGTGCATTTGTTTTGCTTTTTGTATATAATTCAGTTTAATTGAAATCACTCAATTGCAAATATAATACATTAAAATGTGCTTTTAAAATAAAATGAGGCATTTAGCATGACATTTGGACACTGGCTACTTTATGTTTTAAATGTCAGACCACTTGAATTTGGATTATTTTATGTGTGTGTTTAAAGTTTATCAATCAAAATACTTTTAAAATGTTTTCTTGGTGTTTAACATTATCTTTAAGAATATTTGGACAACACACCTTTAATGTTTTATGGCTAAAATTTACACCCACTGACCTGTTAAGTCCACCACTGATGATTTATCACCAAACGCCTTCCAAGATTCTGTGGCATGTTTATAAAAACAATGAGGTCTCTCACAAGGTCCATGTTGTGCAAAAGGACAGTTAACGTGAGCGAAAAGACCAGAGGAAGGAAACATTAGTAGAATAGTTGGATTAAGTTACACCACTGGTGTCCAATCCTAAACCTGAAAGATCTCAGTGATGCATATTTGGAGGTTTCTCAGCTCCAGCACACCTGATTTGAATCACGTTTTATCATTAGGGTTATAAGTTATAGGAGTTACATCGAAGAAGCACTTCCTGGAAATTCTTTCAAAATAAAACACTGAATATTAGCAACAAGAGAACTTGCTCTAGTAGTTTTTTCTCTTATTATTTAGCAGTTACAGTGTCAAACACACTGGTTTTGTGGAGTCAAAGTGTTAAGCCCAGCTAGCTACATTGCTACAAACACTGTTTTATTGCCTTATGAACAGGAAAGCAGAATAATTGGCGTCATCTAGTGGCGACAAACCAGAACAACATTCTGGTTCTGTAAAACAATTTTAGAAGAGAAGAATTTAGCTTACGTTTTTCAGTGAACCTGTAAAAAATGTCATCTTTGTCCTCTTGGAAATATTAATACGAAGAAGAGAATGAGTCTATCACAGTTTATTTCATGTATTGTCATGCTGTAATTGTTGCATGTTCTAAATGATAGTTTAGAACATGCAACAGTGAGTTCAGTTATACATTGTAATTTTCAGTTCTTTGAATATATATTGTATTTACAAACCAACATGTATGTAAAAATGTAAATGAAAAATAAAGCATTAAAAATAAAAATACGAAGAAGAAGAAGAAGAAGAAGAAGAAGAAGAAGAAGAAGAAGAAGAAGAAGAAGAAGAAGAAGAAGAAGAAGAAGAAGAAGAAGAAGAAGAAGAAACTCTTCCTGTAAAATCTTTCAAAATAAAACACTAAAACGTTTTGACAGCAGCATGAAGGTGTCTTGCTATTCATTTTCTCTCTCCCTTTCCTTCCTTCTAATTAATTTATTTATTTGTTATTTTCAATTTTTAAACATATTTGTAGTCATTTAAAAATATTTTTATACTTTAATTGTTTCGTTTTTGTGAAGTGCCTCATGATTTTTATCTTGAGAGGCGCTATATAAAAGATCTTCTTAACGCTAACATACTTTTTCTTTTATTATATTTATTTAGCTATAAACATAAATATTAACTGTATTTATGTAACAGTGTCAAACACTATGTTTTAGTGACGTGAAAGTGCTAAGCCCAGCTAGCTGTAGTGCTCCAGTTTTTTTTTTTTTTTTTTTTTTTTTTTTTTGCAGTTTTTATAAATTTATTTTCATACATTTTGCATATGTAACCGGGTCACCTTAGTTCCCGGAAGTTATTCTGGTTATACCTGTCATGCCGCTGACACAGGGGAGGCCAGGTGTGTAATCAGAGGGCTGCTATAACTAGGGCAGCTGGGGTCTAGCCGCAAAAGCTGAATGCTTTGCTTTGGGTGCGGCTAAGTGGTGAGTGACCTGGCTTTGCTTCAGTTTAGTTAACGGTTATATTTTTAATCGGTTCCTCTTTACGAAGTGTGAGCAGGACGGAGGGGTGGACAGCCGGAATTTTCATTGGCAAGCGGTCGGCCGATGAGGTACTGGTTTATAACAGTGGCGGTTCTACATCGAATTACTCCCCGGGCGAGGCCCCCTTTGAGCGCCCCCAACCGCCCCACCACCACCACCACACCACCCCACCTGCACGAACACACGCATGTTTTCTACAAACAGGCATGTTTTATTAGAACGACTATTGAACATTCATTTTTCTAAGTTGCACTTATTTACATTAATTACTATGAAGTTGTCAGAATGTAAAGCAATATACATTATATACTGTATCAAAATATATAGAATCAAATATACAAAAACAAACAATAACTAAATATTAAGAATATATGAACATAATAGATAATAAATATTCTAAATAGCAAAAATATTTCACACATAACAAACTAAAGATAATCACTACAGCATTGCACTTAGAACAGAAAACAAACTAAAATTAAAACCTAACCTTGATGCAATGTCATCAATAATGTCATCATATGAAATCTGCTCCCCTATTGAGTGATTGATGCTAATCAGAGCCAGGTTAGTGAGCCGCCCCTGAAACATAGGTGACCTCAGATATGACTTGATCAAGTTTTGAAAAGCTCCTCTCAGCTTGAGCCACAGTGACTGGCAGAGCAGTCCAAAAGTTGGGGTAGATCTCCAATAGATCTCATGATCCATAATATTTTAGAATTGCCTCTGAAATTGTAATTTAAACTGACATAAAAAACTGTAGACTACCAAAAATGCCAACATTTACAGAACAAATCATGTAAAAATAATCAGTGCAGCCATCTGCAATAAATAAACAGGAGAGTTAGTGGTGACTGGGGAGTTTTCTTCTGCTTGTAGAGTTGTTTTATTTATTATTATGTGAACATGATCAACATGTGTTAGTTGTTGTTCAGGCAGGCCACGGGCTGCAGTGAGCATTTAACAAATCCTAGTTTGAATCAGTAAAAAACGATTCAAGGACTTTTTTCGAACCATTTGAATTTCGTTTCAATATTTCAGCCCTAGCTCTGTTAGCAATTAGTTGACCGCATTTAACCGTTAAACATGCATCATGCAACATGCATCATGAGAGCATACCTTTATCTTTCTCCTCTTTTTTCTTTTTTTTTCCCCCTGAATGGGGCACCTGGTGGTTTTAGCCTTTTTATGTCCATCTCTTCTGTTTGGCTCCTGACTCAGTAAGTTTCCTTTAGTCAGGACTAAACTATTTGACCTTGATGGGGGTGTGACCACAAAATCGTTTTGTTTTTCCTTTTTTTATTCGGCCATTTCACACAATTCAGAGAAACCTGAAAGAATGATAGGCCTGTGTTTATGATATTATGAATGAAATATGGAAGAACGTTAAGATGTGATTGACTTTAGCCATGTTAATACAGTTGATTCAGCCCCTGCACGCTCATTTTGCGCTCATTTCATTTGGGAAAGACGCAGAGGTGAATTCCCCCGCCGCACCCCTCCCCTTCCTGTTCTTCATACACACACGGTGCACGTGAACGTTCTCAGTCAGTAGGAGCGCCTGCAGCTGCAGGGGGCGCCAACTTGCTGTTTCCAATCCAGACACTGTCATATGACAGATAATAGAAAACCTCGGTGCGGCGCAGATTTCCTTTTTTTTTTTTTTTTTACTCAGCGCTTGTGCGCCCCTTTTGTGTCATGAAAAAATGCCGCCCCGGGCAACTGCCCTGTCTGCCCGTGCCTAAAACCGCTACTGGTTTATAACATTCACAGCATTTTTATGTTTCGTTAGAATAGGACTAACAATGCGTGTTTTGTTCACAGACCTTAGCCTGCTACTGTTTTTCCAGTTCTTTTATTAAATCTTTTCTAGTTCTTTTATTAAACCGTTTAACGGTTTTATCTTGTTACTAATAGTTTTCTCCAGAGGGGGAAGGAAGCAAACTTGTTTGTGAGTCGGGTGGTTAGCGTTAAGCACAGCGCTGTCTCTGGGAGGCTAGTTTCTTTTAGAGTATCCGCTGTAGGGGTTTGTCGGGGGTTTGACTCACTTCTGGGTGACGTGTGTATGAGCTTTAGTTAAAGGGAGCACTGCGTGTTTTTCTTTATATTATTGTCTCTTGTCTCGGGTCCCTACAGCGGCTTTGTGCTTTTAAATAATAGTTGGATGGCGTTGTGTGTAGTCCCAGGGCCAGCATAGTCGTCGCTCCTCCCTCCCGTGCTTTAGAGTTTTAAGCCTATTTTTATCCCGATCTGGGTTGTCTTTAATAAATCTCCTGTGCTGTATCTTCTGAATAAAATTGTTAAACTTGTGAATAAGCCTCTGCTGTTTTCATCAAGGGTTATTATTTCCTACGGTTTTAGGATCTAAGCATCCAACCCTCCAGGTCACACATATAATTAAATAAAATATAAAAAGACAAATAAAGTAAAATAACAGTTCCCGAGTTTTGCAAATGCTGGAAGCCCTGATATAAATGCAGCATTTACATTATATAAACAACATTGGTAAAGTTTATCAACGTTCATACATTTTTATGTTTTTTCTCTCTTGATGTCTTTGGCTGTTTGGCTGTTGCAATACCTTCTCCGGACCAGCGGGTGGCGCTGTTGCGCACACGTACAGCGGAACTGTCTGTAAACAAAATAAAAGCATGTATTCATGTTAACCATGATGTTAACGCCATCATGTTAGTCTTAAAAATCATTAATAGCGATGATGAGATGGATGAAGAACTTAGCGAGTGGAACCACTCCTTCGTGGATTCAGCAGCTCTTTTCCAACTCCTCAGTCGCTTCTTCTGGTAAAATTGTCAGTTTTTGCTGCTTCAGCTTGATTTGAAGATAACTTGGGATCAGCTGTTAAAGCATCATCAGCTCCTTCACAGTCATTTTGCATTTTGACCTGGATGGCTGCTACCCTCAGGTGGAAATGATAAGAAATCCAGCTCTGAAATGCGTGCCTTTAGGTAAACCTAAAATATTATTATGGAATATTAAAGTTGCTGAGTTTCTGTGAAGATTAAACACATCCATCTTCAGGTGTTCAGCAGAAATGCATCATAGTCACCTGTAACTACGTGGCCAGGGGTTGGGGTGTTACCAAGCTGATGTCTGAAGTGTTGCGAGCTGGTGCTGGTTAACGGAGAAGACCTGACACACTACAGAGAAATGTCCTATAAAGTGAAAGGTAGCAGTTCTTGCATATTTTGAGAATTTTATATCCTCCAACACATCAGATTGATTTTTGTGGGGAAAAAGGTGCTGTTTAAACCTTAAACTATCATATACAGCCAAAAAATGAATAAATAAATAAAAATTAAAAGAGTGCCTTTTGCCATCAAAACTGGCCGATAGGCTCCGTCCCCCCTTTAGCGTTTATTCAGGTCTTCTCTCTTTCGTTGTCAAGCACGAACTGAATCATGAACTGAAAACTTACCAAAAGCCTTTCTCTTCTCAAAGCAAAACGTGTGCGTCAGCAAATGTGTTTTGGAGTTTACTGTGAGGGCAGATGTGTGTGTGTGTGTGTGAGTGTTTGATTGTGTGAAGGTCACCACTAAAACATCCTCAGAACATTATTTAATTAAGCATTGATTCCTTGGTTATTATGATTACCCAAAGCATAATAATCATTCATTTGATTAAAACACATTTATAATGAGCAAAGTGATAATACTGATCATTTAACAATTTAAAATAAAGGAAAGGAAGTTATGTTATGACTACTTTTCCATGAGAACACATCTTCTGGCGCTGCAGGTGGCAGATGTTATGGTTTCCAGCAGACTCTTGCAGACTTCATGTCTGCAAAGGTCTCAATCTGTGGGTGAAAGTTCTCAGCGACCCAGCCGAGTCAAATGACCTTTTGCACAGAAAACCCATATTTCCTCACATTACAAGTATAAACAAAGTGAAGGTGTGAACCCAAACAAAGCCATCATTTAGAACATTTAGGGAGGGAACACCTGGATGAAAAGGTGAGTTTTTAGATGATTTTTAAAGACCTCTACAGTGTTGGAGAGATGGAGATTTGAAGGTAGACTGTTCCAAAGTCTGGGTGCAATAGTCTGAGAGGCTCTGTCCCCTTTGGTTTTCAGTCTGGTTCGAGGAACAGCCAGCAGGTTTTCAGATGTGGATCTAAGGTTCCGAGAGGTGGTGTGTGGGGATAAAAGCTCAGATAGGTAGCTTGGAGCCTGCTTGTTCTATAGGTCAGGACTAAAACTTTAAACTGTATTCTATATTGTTCTAGCTTGTTTGTGTGTATTTGTTAGTGGCTCTGCCTTCTCTGTCTGCTAGGCAACAGCATTTGTTGCATTTTTCAACGGGAAGTGGGAGCGGAGTAATACTCTAGTAGGGGGTGACTTGCTCTTTAAGTAGAATTTTGTAGGATTATTACACTGACATTAATTTTATGCAATAAAAGTAGGTTTAACTAAGGAAAATATCTCCAATAATAAAGATTACATACCAGAAACTATCAATATATTGATCTGGATCTGTCTTTAGGTGCTGTTTGATCAGTAAATGGTGTTTATCAGTTGCATTAATGTCCTCATTGTTCAGTCTCTCAGTGATGAAGATTCCTTCAAAAAATGTCTTCAACTAAAGAAGTTGTGGAAAAGATTCAGCAGCTCTTGAGTAGTCTGGTAGAAAGGTCAGGACCAGTTTCAGCACCTCATCAATGGATCCATGGTTCTGATCTTTGAATGAAGACTTGCCGCTTCTACTTTGTCTTATTTTATAAAAACCAGGATGCAGAAAGATGTCCGTCAGCCTCAAACCTTTAGGCTTACAATCCGAAGATTCACGACAACCAACAAGTGGTTCAGTGGGGAGAGCCGCCAGTGCCCGATCCCCAACAGCATCGGACAAAAGCTCAGCTCTGGTGTGGCCACTTTGATCTAAAAGTATCAGAGTACTGGAGTCAGTTTGAATCTTTTATTTAGTGAAACAAGTTTGTTTGAAACACATTTCCAGATTAATCTCAGTGTTTATTTCGAGGCAGTGAGAGCATCTTCTCCTGAACTTTAGATGAGTTTTATTTTGTCCTGCTTTCTGAAACCACCTAAAAATAAAAGTTTTTCTATTTTCTCTCCACAGAAAACAGAAGAAGCTGTGGTCCAGCTGGTTTTGATGGCAATGAAACTTTTTCAGAATATGGTGGACAGCAGCGCTGATTTTCACCTCACACTCCTAGACGTCTGCTTCAGCAACCTGCAGACGAGAGGGGCGGCTGTGAGCGCCATCACATCGTTCTTCACGCAGAACACATCCCCCAGAAAACCCCAACACTTACCATCACAAAACCAGGTGGTGCGTTTAAGATCAACAGATTCTGTCATTTAAACGAGCTCTTCATTTCTCCTCTTTATATCATTAAAGGTGTTTTGTACCTTTTATATATTTTTAAAGGGTTTTTCTGAAAATGTAAGACTATTACCATATTTTTTCTTTTTTATTATTAAATAAATACCGTATTTTCCGGACAATAAGTCACCCTTTTTTCATAGTCTGGCTGGTCCTGCGACTTATATACCAAATTATGTAGGCTATACTGCGCTGCAGCGGGCCGGCTCTGGACCAGGAATGAGCTCCCCTGCCCCGCCATACTCTGCTGGAGACCGTGACGTGCTGCTGCGCCGTGATTGTTTATTCTGTTATTGTTACTGGTACTTGTCTTGCAATGTGAAACGCTTGGTCTCAGATTTTGTAAGGAAAATAATAAAATTTCCCCCCAAAATGCGACTTATAGTCCAGCACGACTTACATATGTTTTCTTCTTCATTATACATTTTATGGCTGGTGCGACTTATACTCCGGAAAATACGGTATTTAAACAAATAGTGAAAACAGTATGACTCAGAGCTTTTGCACATCTAAACTAAAATATGAACTTTTTCTTGATTTTAAGAGGAAAAAGCAAATCATATTTTCAAAGTTGAAAACCAGAATTTTAACATATTTGTTTTTAGTATTTTTTGCAAGAAATTTGTATGTAATTATTTGTAGATGTTGTTAATCAGTACTTTTTCTTTTTAAAATGAAAGCATTAGATGTTGCAGTTATTATTATTCATCTCTCGTTTGGACAGAATATTTGGGTATTAAACGCTGTCATTTATCTTGGCGAGTAAATACGTTGCTCTCTTTAGCTGCTTTACTTGTGCCAACTCATGGACTCGACACACGGGAGGCGACATCGCCTCTCCTCCATTCATTTTCAATGAGACATGCGTGACAAAGCGATAATCGCGGGTCTCCCTCCTACTAAGCGAAACGCGAAAAACATGCTTGTGAAATTTTGCACTCGCGCACGTGTCATGCACAGGTGACCCAGCGACGCGATCCCAGAAAGTTGAAATATTTTCAACTTTTCATCGCTGTCGCTCGGACGAGGACCAATCAACGGAGGTTTCATTCACTAACCAATGAGCGGACAGGATGCTCCGTACATCTCCGAGCAAACATGGACTCCGTTTCTCCTTCTGTGACTGTGTTCATCTTAATGTGAGGTCCAAACCGTGTGATAAATTGAAGCATGTCCTGGTAGACAGAGAGTAGCCCTCTCCTGGTTTGTAATATGGAATGAACCCATTCTCTGTTTTTTTATATATAATAAAATCAGAAGTAAGATTTCACATAACTCTAGCAGCACCTTGTGAAACATCATATCTACCACCTATTTTTAGCTATGAACAGCTTAAATAACCTTAATTCCCTCCAACCTGACACAGCCAATCAAAACAACGGAAGATTCGATTTTGCCATGGAACAGAATGTGTCAACGGCTTTGCCGCTGCCGCGGGTCCAGTGGCGGCTCCAGAAATGTTTTTCTGCAGGTGCTATGAAGGAGCTAGTGTTTTTATTGAGGGTGCTATGAAGGAAGTGGTCATGCATACCTATTGTTCTCTAAAACACCTTCAACACTAGCAGATACACATGCGTGCACAAAACCTCTACAACACCTGAAACAATCATTAATATACATCATAAACATATGAACAATCGCTGACTTTTCCATGAAATCATAAACGCATACAGCCACACAGAAAACCATCTATAGTGTTGCAAGGTTAGCTAACGTTAGCGTTTCCAGCGGCAGAACCCTGGACTGCTGCGGCGGTTGAGGGTTGACTCTCTTCATCCAGATCCGTAGGTGTTTGTGGGTCTGAGATCACTTCCAAAGATTCATTCGTTTCTGACTGAACCCGTGGAAATGTGGGCAACAAAAACCGATCCATTTTACCACTAGCTCTACCTTTCACTCGTTCACAGGTGGAAAATGAGGTCAAAGGTTAACATCAATTACCTGTTTTGGTTTAAGTTTTTACTGATTATTTTTGCTTTGTATGTTAAATATTATCACATCCAAATTAAAATTAAATTGTAAAAAAAAAAAAATCTAATATTTACTTGGGGGTGCAACAACTAATCCAGGGGTAGCTACAGTGCCGGTGCTCCGCACAGGCACACCACGCACAGTGCGTAGGGCTCACGCCAGGGGAGGGGCACCAAACGCAAGCTTATGAAAAAATAATATATATGATAAAGACAGATTTCAATTAGAAGATGTGCAAAGCAAGTTAACAGCATGCGTACAGAGAGAAAACAATACAAAAAGGAAAGGAGATGGACAGTGTCGCAATGCCCAACCCCCCCCACCCCCCCCCCCCCACCCCCAGCAGTACACCTGCGGAGAATGCAGCGGGCACAGTCATGGCTCAGAAGGTGGTGGTCCCTTTGATGCTCTGTCCATTCTGGGTCCCCCGGATACTGATGGTCAGCCTCCCCTGAGAACTACGCCTCGGGTTTCACAGGTAAGTACCAATAACACACACATTTTCTGGAGTGGTAAGACCTGTCCAATCGACCAATTGGGTTGGAGCTCATCACATATTTAAACAGGCACCTACTGGGTCCCTCAGGGTGGGGGTCGGGGTGGGATGGGAGAGGGGCGGAGGAGACCAACACTCCTAGACAGGGTTGTTGAGGGTCTACCCTCATGAGGAAATTGCTACGCAGCATTTTATCCAAAAACTGTGTAATCTGCGCTTTGAAAAAGCAGATAATAAGTCCCAGCGCCAAGAGAGACTTCATTTCCCATAAGACTTTACGCCCGGAAGCAGTGTGATGACGTCACCAAAGCGAAGCGGAGCACGGGTTCTGCGCATGCGCCGAACCACACGGAGACGCTGAGAGTTATAAAACTCAGCACAAAGCGGAAAACTGGCTTTTTTGTGTCCAGCTTTAGCTGGTGTGAAGAGATATGCTCGCCTTTTGCCTTCGGACGCGTGGGTGCCGGCCGAGCTGTTTGAAATCAACGGAGAACGCCATCTAATCCGTTTGAACGACGAGGGACGTCTTGGCTTCGCTCAGAGAAGTTTTGCTCCTGCAAGTTTTATTTTTTTTCTTTATCTTCCGACTTCTCTTAGTCCGAACAAGCAATAGACTGCTTCAAAGTAACATCGTGTTTTTCTCTTTCGTACCAAAATACGCCATCAGACAATTGAAGTAAGCTCCATTTCTTTATTGTTAATATCTGGGTTTGTTGTCTGTCAGCTGTGGCCAGGCTGACCGACTCCGTTAGATATTTTTCATTTGCCTTTGACTGAGTTGTTTTCCTTGAGCCTTGTGAAGCGGTTGAAGTGTTAAGTTTTACTGTGATTTGAGTTAAGGAAAGCTAAACCTTTTTGTCTGTATCTGAGAAGAAAGATTGCACACCCAGGTTCTCAGTGTGGGGGCAGAAGTCACGCACGCACGCACACACACACACACAGCTTACACTCCTGCACATTCCACAGAGCCGATCTGGTGGTCAGCAGAACAAAGAACCCCTTCAATCTCATTAAACCACCTCAGAATGTGTTCACATTATTATTTCATTCAGGGCCGGCTTTGGCGACAGGCGACACAGGCGGCCGCCTGGGGCGCCATCTGATGGATAGGGCGCAAAAAAAAAAAAGTTTATTACATCATGTTTGTAACATGAAATGCACTCTCTACATGCTCAAAATTCACCTTTGAAATGACATGAAATTAAAACATCAATATTTAAATTCTAATGATCTGGCTGCATGACGAGCTCCCGCTTGGGCCACCGCTCCGATGCATTTGACCGTTAAGGGTGCCGTAGATCACGTGCGTGGTTAGCGCTGTAGGAGGACATCCTGTTGTCGTCACGTTTAAACGTTTGATATTTTATGATGAAAAGAACACCTAAGCCATCGGGATCAGCATTCCCAAAGCGAAGGAAGGAGGAAGAATAAAAACGGGCCCAAAGCAGAGGTATGTAGACTTTATAAATTTGGCAAAGGAACTTTTTGCGTTACAATTTTTGCTAACTGCCTCTCCTGCCACGCACGGCCCATGAACGGACCCTCGCTAGCTGTTTACATACACAATACAGTATCTCATAACTTTAACCAATTAATTTTACTTTTGAATCGTCGTGTCCAGATGCAGTGAGACAATATCTGCAGCCACGACAGGCACCTGTTGACACCACGGGGGCGGGACTGTCTTCTACACCTGTTGAGTCTCACTGTGAAGATGAAGAATGTAAGATTTATTTTTTACCGTTTTTTCGAGTATGATTGCAGCCTTTTTATGAATTTCGATTCAAGTTTTAAGTACGCAATATGAATTTAATATTTTCATATCAGAAGAACGTTAGGTGTGTGTGTAGCAAAATTTCAACTTTGTCCGACACATTGGGCAGGCGGCACCACCGTGGCAGGGACTCCCCCGCTGCCGCCGGCAACGCGTCGGTGTTTCCTTGTTTAATAAATGAAATCCTCAGAGTGCCTCAGATCACCGGGTCTTCTTCCTCATATTCTACAAATTATTTGATGCTGAAGAGCACCTGAGAGTGAGACATAAGTTTTTTCAAATATTCCCCATGGATGCTCTCACTTCCACCTGTTTTTGATAATTTTATTCATGTTTTCATAGAACAGATTAAAAAAGATTGTTGGGTATTTTTATAATTGTACCTTTTTGAGGCCTAAAAGATGCCCATTTTGTGTTATTGACACTGCATGAATCTCTTTTTTTGCCAACTGTTGTTGTTCATGAAAGGTTGAGCAAGGATGTTGATTGCAACTGAAACCTTTGTAACTCTGTAACCTGAGAAGGCCCCGCCTTCTCCCCCATCCGTTGCTGTGAATAAAGCCCCTGGGAAACTGAGGAGACTTGGGAGTGACGTGGGGAAGCCTCGGAGGAGGTTCCTCTGCGTTAACTCTCCATATTTTGGGGACTCAGGGTAAAATGTCTTCCTTGTTGTCATGTGTGTTATTTCAGGTTCCAGGGTTATGGAGATTAAATATTACCTAACATTCTGGTCTCCTGATGGAGAATGCGGGTATGCAGAGCTGGTGAGGTGAAGGCTTTGAGGCTGGAACAGAGGGGGGCTGGTTAGCTCCATGGAGGGGTTTCTGCGCCCAGCTCTCGCATGACGATTCACGGACATTACAAATAATCTCTCTCTCTCTCTGTGTGTGTGTCATCCTTTAAGGTAATATGGGATAAATCTAAAATTACCTATCAAAGATCAATAAAATAAAAAGTCCAGTAACATGAAAAATAGTGAAAAGCATCACTGCACATGACTGAGGAATACTGAATGTGAAAGTAGCGCTGTTCTTAATTCATGCATCAGAGGGTTAAGTTGCTCTGTGTGTGTGTGTGTGTGTGTGTGTGTGTGTGTTTATTTTCTCACAGAGGAAGAACCCAACACCAGCAGACTCAGTGCTCCAGTCCAACAGCCTGAAGAGACGCCATCATCAGCTTCAACAGATGTCTGTGAACATGTAGGAGCTGCTGGCCCCATGGATCCTGCTGACTGGCCACAGCAGTTGAACAAAATGGAAAGTAGAACTTTCTTTATGATGACACTGATGTTTGAGTTTTGCTTTTGATTGTACAGTTTAATGCTGCTGTTGATTTTGCATCCCCCAAATGACATTTGCACAACATTTTGAGTTGTCGGTTATTGTAATATTCTCAGGTTACTCATCTTTCAAGCTTACATTTATTCTTCAGGCTGCTGACTTTAAAGAGTTGCTGTGTGAATATTTAAAATAAAAAATTTGTAACTAAGGAATAACTGTGGAGTTGCTTTTTCCAATGTGTGGTGGGCGGGTGGACTTGGGTTTGGGTGAGAGGCGTGCGGGCACGGGGGGGGGGGGCAAATGGGCAGTCTCGCCTTGGGCACCAAATTACCTAGAGCTGGCCCTGGGTTAGGCAATTATATAAGCTATTGCTTCTGCCTAAACCTGTTCAGTCATGAGATACCAATGCCACACCATTTACAAATGAAAGCATATGTTAGTGAGAAATGGTATTTGTATCTATTTGTATGACATGTTATTGTACATTATCTTAAGATGACTGACTGAATAAATTGATCATTCATTCATATTTGATGTTATATCATTTATTTTTTTATTATTATTTTTTTGCTGTGGTTTCTAGAACAAACCTAGAAACTGTGTAACATCCAGGAAAGGGCAATGTTGACCTATATATTGACTTACATGGTGACCGGTCACCTACAGACATAACTCCACTATCTAGGTGGAGTTGTTACTCTATCTTCTAACACCCAGAATATTCTGCAGGGCTTGTTGACGGTCCACGAAGATAAGACTGTCAAACTTATCTCAGACTGCTGGATTCCACTCAGAATGAAAAGTGAACTTTAACAACTCATAAGTTAAATAACCATTTATAATCATATGGTTGAATGAACCAGATGTTATATGAAATGTTGGAATAATTAGTGCCAAATTCAATGAAGATGAAATGAGATAAGTTTGACAATTTTGTCTTGTGATTGGTCAGGACGCTGCTGTCGCCTACAAAGCCACCATTGCGGCCTCATAAACATAAAAACAGCCGAGGATATCTAGCGGCAGACACTGAGCAGCTTGAAGAATACCTCCCGAAAAAACTCGAAAGTGTTAACGATTTATTCGCCTGTGACTGGAGGAGTGAAAAGATACGCAGCAAGCATTTTATTTGTGGACGTAAATTACGGGAA